TCGTGGTCCACCAGAAGGGGAGGGACATAGGCTCTCTATTCAGCTCATCATGTTTGTTACAGTGACAAAATTTTATTCATGGTGAATCATTTTGTTCTATTTACTGTATATGCATTTACATGTGAATAATTTAATTTAAAGTAAGTGCAATATGCCAAGCCTGTCTTGTCTTGTCTGTATGCATAAACAGGTGCTACCAAAAGATGTCCTACAATCAGGCCAATACAACGTATGCATTTTGTTTCCCCTGGCTGTTCATACACAGACTCAAACACTAAAATCATTATACATTTTTATCAAAAACTAAATCCAAATCAGGTGCCAAAACTTTCATCATGCACCAGTATCTTGGCAACATGTAAAAATAATGGCCCAATTGTAGCTGTATGTAAATGACGTACTTAATACACACACAAAGGAGAAAAGAGACAATCTGCCTACCTACCTTAGGCCCACCAAGGCTCTCCTTGTCACCCAAATTTGAATTTTCTGGCTCAGATAACTGACAATTTGGCGGCGAGTAGTAAGAAATCCAAGCCTCAAAAAGAGCCTTTAGAAATCTAGGGCTGACTTCGGGATACTAAAGTATGCCAGTATTTTTCTATTCCACATTGAAACTAACATTAAGTATGTAACTCATGGTTTTTAGGATGGCTCTCAGAATCCCTTTCTCCTTGATGTCTTATGTGTAGGTAATTAATTCATATTAAAAAGAGCATCATGTCGTGTATGCCTTGATTATAACTGCCTTGCTTACTGTCGTTTTCGTAACTTACCTTGTCTGTTTTTCTCTCTCTCACTTCTTTCCTCTTGTCCCTTTTATCTTCCTCCTTCTCTCTAACCAGCTCTAGTTAAAATGCAGGGAGGCTTTCAGAGGCACCACTATCAGAAACAATTGCCCTGACTCTTTGCTTGCTTCCTCACCTGCTTCACTTCTTCTCTCCCACTCGATTGTTTCTGTCACCTTTGACATTTTGTCGCATGTTTCTCTTACCTCTTACCTCTCTGTGGCCTTGCTTACCTTTTGTTCTTTTTTTTTTTCTTATCAACAACCCATCTATTCAATCACACACACACACACACACACCCACCCACACGCAACCACGGAAAGCTACAGTATAGAGTCACTATCTGCACTGTGGCCTGACGGTCTTAAGATAAAACGGCCTTGGGAGCCCCGCACCTCCGCCCAACCATGACATGTTTCAGATTGTCTCCTAAATCTCCTCTGACAGATGGATAGATGTACTACTGCAGCTGTGTAAGTATGAAATAGATCCCTTAAGGAGTATGAGGGAAAAGATCAGGTCTGTGAAGTGAGAATAAAAGTCGACTGCTGAAGTGGACTTTTAAATCATGTCTCTTAAATAAACACATTTTATTAAAAAGGAGAAAGAAAGAAAATACTGCAAATGTAAATCTGCTTTTATTGCAGGAGGAGCTTCCAGGTTTGATGTGGTAGCTCTTGTAAGAAAATATTAAATAATAAATAATATTGACACTATGCTGGATATACAAATTTAAAGTAACAGTTTTACATTTTGGGAAATATGCTTATTTGAATTGGATGATGACATCGATGCCACTCTCTTTTACAACCCGTTAGATGATATGTAATTTTAACTCAACCCTCAAACTCCCAGGTCTCTAGTAGAGGACCCAAGCTTGAGGATGACACATACCACCCTGCAAGGGGTGCGAGTTTTTTATTTTATTTATATATATATATATATATATATATATATATACACTTTTTTTTTTTTTTTTTTTTTGTGGCTTGGGAAAGAGAAGTTTGGGATCCCCTGCTGGAGCTGCTGCCACCGCAGCCCGACCCCGGATAAGCGGATGAAGATGGATGGATATATATATATATATTTTACCTTTAAACAGAGCCACACTAGCTGTTTCCCCCTAAGTCATTATGCTAGGCTAACCTGCTGCAGGCTCCAGCTTTATATTTGGTAAATTCCTATTCCTTTAACGTACTAAACTGTCTCTTCCTCGAGGTGGTAAAACTAGCTGCAAAAAACACCAAATCAAAGCAAAACTAAATAAAACCTAATATTAGCTGCTGCATCACATATTTCAGGTCAATATTTTTATTTATCTGCTTTAGTCATCAACATATCATGATCAGGTAAGTGGTGTCAATTTAATTTAGTTTTGCAAGCAGCTTTTTTTATTTGTCTTTATTGAATTCAGAGTTTTGGAATTATTTTAATATATGTGGGTAAATGATAATAATACTTTTACTTTTGGAAAAAAACTGTTTTTGCTAGTTGATTTTCGATATCTGTGTTTCATGTGTAAGAGATTTGTGCATAAAATATTTATCCATTACGAAGGGAAGTTATTTCACAGATTTTGAACCCAAATTCAAACCTTAAAAGTTATGTGAAAGTTCAAAGAAGCATTTAGTATGTACTTGTATCAGAATGTGCACTGTAGTGTATTCACAGGAGAAAGTTTACAGCACAGATGGAGGACTTAAAAAGTAGTCGCCTGAGACGCTGCTCTTTGCTAACAAGTCATTTTGTTATCTTCTCATCTGGCCTGCACAATACACACAGAGAAACACCCACACACACACACACACACACACACACACACAGAGCAGCGTGTCAACCAGCTCAGATTAAAACATCTGAAAATATCTGAGGCAGCTCTATCTCTCTCTCTATCAAAGCCACTCAACCTCTCCCTCAGTCTTTTGTGTTTGGTTTATATTGGTACATGACAAGATTCTCTCTCTGGGTAACCATCTCTCTCGCTCTCTGTCTCTCTCTCACAATCTTTATCCTTCTTTCTTTGTTTTAATTTATCTCTGCCTCCAGCTTCCTCCTGCTCTCATCTTTCCATCTCTTCATGCTTGGAAATGTCTGGAATTAGTCTAAGAAGATTTGTAAATTAAGAGGTGTTATCTTTGGAGAGGCCAACTTTAAAAAAGACAGATACTTTATTTAAAATAATAATAATAAAAAAAAAATCTCCTATGTTTCTCTGTGGAAGCTCATTTGGATACTGAGAATATCAACGCTAAAGTCTGGGTTGGCAGCTTTGCTTTGAGATGCAAAGCCATGAGTATGAACCTTTTCAAGTGTGAGACAAACGCAAGTCAGAAATAAAGGCCTCTTAAATAGTTGAGGATCATTACATATAATTATATTACTGTCATAACATACAGTACAGGGTTATGTTATGTTATTTATCAGGGCTGTTGTAGTTCATTATTCTACCTCTTCAAAGGCCTACATCTTCAGGTTAAAGGAAATAATCTAATCAGTAACACTTCAACACTGCTTATTATGAGGTTTCTTCCATTTCTGGGTCCATTTTGCTGACAAGTGGTGTCTTTTCACCCTTCCAAAAAAGCACATATTTATTATGTGTAGAATATAATTTTAAATGTGGAAAGTTCACTTATTCCATATGCCTTTTGGACACTCCACATACAGTACAATAAATTCACATGATGTGGATACATGTGACATGTAAGACATCACAACCAGCAATTTCATATCATGAAACCACATAACCACATGTTTTTCATACACTTCACATGCTGAATAAGTGTGAAAACATTAATTGCACAAGAGCTAAAAGGTTACAGTGATTTTAAACATGAACAATAAATGCCATTTTTTGAATTTTCACGCTTCTATCTGAAAACACCGTCATGCAATGTTTAACAAATCTTGAGATAGAAATCTATTGCAACCACAGTCACAGAATATAAACTGGAATGCAAGAGCCACAAGACAAGTTGCATTTTAAGTTATGGATCAACTTTTGTTTTATAACTTTATTTAACAAGAAAACATTGCTGAGATCAATGCTATTTCCTTGTTCACACTCAGTTACACATATTCACTCCTGGAAGTGGCTCAGTACAACCACAGTCTGATCTGTTGGCCAATGAGTAGCTCTACTGGGCTCCACAGCCATTTGTGATTAATAAGCACTAAAATTTCAAAACCATAACTCCAAATGACAACAGCTGTAGTGTAAAAATAATTTTTGTTCTTTGTCATGAGTTCAATCATTTTGTTTTGTGCTGAAACCTTTACTTCTCGTAAACACTTGGTCAATAAAGTGGATTTAGAAAGTTTTCCACACTGGCTTAACAGCAGGTCAATACTTTGGAAGCTCTTTATTCTTCAACATTATCCCTCAGTAAAGGACAGCCACTAGATCACTGTAAGTAGTTGTCTCAGCATGTGTTTATGTATTTTTTCCAATAACACTGCCTCTAGTTTGTCAAAATATGTGGGATATTCCATGTATAACTTGGAATTGATTTGGTTGAAGTAAGGATTGACTGCATACTGAAACCTGCAAGAGAAAGTAAGATCACAACAATGCCGAAAATAAAACAGTGAAATTCCCTTTTGGTTTGATTCAAAAACACAAACACAGTAAGTAGGACAGAGAGAGAGAGAGAGAGAGAGAGAGAGAGAGAGAGAGAGAGAGAGAGAGAGAGAGAGAGAGAGAGAGCACACAACATGTAAATCAACTAGCTGGGACAGCTCAGTGAGTTTTTACATATGAAATACATATACCTTGAATTACCTTGATCTAAATCAAGTTGGAATTTTAAGTATATGTTTTTATTCTTTATATTGGACTTATTTTATTAGACTTACACACACACACACACACACACAGTATAATCCAGGGTTTTCATATTCAAATGTATATGCTGTGTAGAGGAGTATTCTGGGTCTTGGAATAATCACGGAAGGTTTTCTTTGAACTAGTACTACCTAATGTTTGTCTCACAGTCACAGACATAGCTTAACTAAAAACTGTGTAAGTGTAATTTATAGACCTCATCCTGGATTTATTTTTAAGGCTGTGATTAAACAGATATTATTTGTCACTTTATTATACTTCACTACATGTTTACTCAATCATTTAATAATGGCCATTTTGAGTCTCTTCAGATAAATGCATACTTTAGAAAATGGCACAAGTGAATGTAACTCAAGACGCAAACTCACCAAGGAAAGCAGAAGGCGATACGGTGCCATTGCTGCGAGAAACCATGACACTGATGCCAGTCTCCACGAAAGGAACGGAGAACTCTACGACCTCTGACCTCTCTTCGTTAATGGTGAGAGAACCGATGGCCATGTCAGCCCTGTTGGACACCACCTGAAAAACAGGACACCTTGAGTTAGAACAATTTTGTGGGACTCAAAAAAGTTTTGCGGGACAAAAAAGTTTTAAAGGATATTTTTACCAAACACAACATTTTTTAAAAATTATGTGTCAAATCACTGCTATTGTTGTCCTGCATTGACTTTGTCTTTCCCCTCTTTTATGTGTACTGTGTACCCTTTCATTTAATTCCTGAAAAACATCATAACACCCCCCTACAAAGGGTTGCCTTAAGACAGCGCTGTGTATAGAAGTGCAGAGCAGAGTATTTGGAAGGAAAAATCCAAAGCACTCTTCCTCATTGATGTTTGAAAAAATACTTAGGCTTTGTCAGTGAGCTGGATGTTAATTCGAGTGTGTTTCAGAGTTTTCTTTTGTCTCGGCATGCAGCATGAAACCGTGAAACTGTGTTCCTCCTCAGAGCTCTTCCGACAGCTGTAAATGAGGCTCAGGTGGTCAGAAGGTGAGGAGGCACAGCTCTGTCGTGTTTCACCTGGCAGGAAACAGAGGTTACTTGACTGCGGTCGAGGGACTGGGGAGGTTGGAGAAGCTGGCTACTGACCAGAGTTCATTAGTCTGAGTCCTGGCCTGGCCCCAAAAGTCTGTGAAGACAAAATACTCTGTAGCCGCTCACCAGAAACCGCTGAGACGCCTTTAAAAAGGCTCTTAAAGCCACAGTGCTTACAGACCTCTTTCTCAGTTGACATTTTAAGAGTTCAGTCCTCATTGATTCATTGTTGTCTTGATGTACTTCCCAATTATCACATACCAATCAAAAAGTAATGGTAATGTGGTCATATCTTTATCAAGATTAGTTTAGCTTAGTAATGCAGTTAATAGAGCAGGTGTAATTGAAAAATCTTACTGTATGTGTGGCATGTTTACATGCTGGTGAGAATATAAGAAATCTTTTGAGTTTAAGTTTGCATCTTTAGAGTTTAAGTTTGCTTCTGAAAATTCTTTCAATTATAGGCAACATTTTAATCCATAAGCTGTAGCAAAGCTAAGCAAGCATGTAAAAATGTGATAACGTAAATCAAATAAGGGGCAAATTTGGCTTTCTTGTACATTAAAAAGTTAAGTTATGTTATGGATTACAGAGCATTTAGCTGGAGGGTTTTTCTAATACAAGGTACAAGGTACACACAGGTAAACAATTCATGGTTTATATTGCATTGCCATGAAATTACATCATAACATAATGACATAGTATAATTAAATAAAACTAAATGTTCAATGTGATATTTAAGTTTAAATTTGCTGAAACAACGTGGGCTCTCTATCAACCTTCTCTAGATAAATGCAGGAAGAATTTGATGAACTAAAGTTTACTTTGCAAAATCAATCGTATGTCTCCAAGCCAACTGAGAAACTTTAAAGTACATTTCTACAAGAGTGTGATGATTACACACAAGTTTTACACTTTTGATACCGTGATTAGTTGTTCTCTGCCTGCCAAGATCAATCAACCCATGATAATTATTCCATTTATTTCAACTAGGTCATTTCAAATATTCTTATACAGCTAATTTTGAAAGCAACACCTGTGACAGTCCTATTCACGAAGTGCTTCATCGCTGCACAGCACATACTTCTTACTGGGAACAAAAAATATTACACAAGGATGATTCATAGTTGAAGATGAGAAAATGTTAAGGACGTAGGAAATTACTGCCTTATTGGGAGGCATTCAGTAAGGAAGAAGGACAAAAACTGTATGGCTGAATGACATTCTGAGAAATAGCAGAAGTGATTGTCTAAGTGTAAGCTTTGGAGGCACAAGGACAATAAAAACATCTGAGGAAGGTGGATCCATTAGCCTTGGTGAAATTTAACCTTGTCAGGATATGAAAGGAGTTTAGTTAATAGAAAAGAATAAAATGGAAGTTTAGAGAAAAAGGGGAGGGCAGCCGACGTTAAAAGGGCAATGCACAAGAAAAACAAAAATGGTGCTTTCTTTTGTATATTCACAACAAAATAGTTTGGATAAAAACAATTACAGCCGCAGGCAGCAGGAAACATCCAAGGACAGGAGGACGTGAGATATAACAGTTTTCACACAGAATCAGCTGTCCCTGTGCACACTTGTTTGTCTGCCGCCACAATTAAGCAACTTAATGAGTTAGTGACAGAAGCTGGGCAGGAGGCAGCTGGGAACTGAGCGAGAGAGAGAGAGAGAGAGGGACCACCTGCATCTCTGAGGTCTATCTGAGACAGAAACCCTGTAAACAGTGCCATCAGGAGAGTTTTGGGTTGATGTTAACACACACATGGATGCACACAGACACATAGACACACTTATTCTCACTCATGCAAACACACATATTCATTCACACAGAGAAACGCATCTGAACACACACGGGTAACATGTGTGACCCACCAAAACCCTAACCCTAAAGCTGGATTTATACTTTGAGCATTCAAACTTCAAGAACTGCTTGGTCTGTTTGAACTACTTGCGTTTTCTCCTTTTTAGTGACACCAGACATACTGTACTTTCTGATCTTTTAATTAATTAAATAATCTAAGCCAGATGAGTACACAGCACACACAAAAGTTCAGGCACCGGTGAAACATCGCATTTGATCCAGGACGTCCAGTTTGATCTTATCAGAAACATTTTTCAGACCCCACGAACAGTGGGGTGCAGTGGTGCTCCCCAAGGCCTGCAACGTTGATGTGTGAAACCAGTGTTTACAATTACAATTAATTCTCAGTAAATGGACAGTGGTTTTTGACAAATTGTTGTGAATTGGGAGTCCGTTAGTCTCCTAACCATAACATAAATATATAAAACTAAACATGAAATCTTAAACCACAGGTGGCCAAATTATGACTAGAATATGTTTTATTTCTAATAAATTGCACTGTACGTACATGGTACATCCTAGTTTAAATACTTAGGGTGACCACATTTTGGTTTTCAAAGTAGAGGACAGTTGGGGCAGGAGGCAGGCGGACACCCGCAGAGGGGGGAAGGTGTGGGCTGGGGGGGGATTCAAGTAATTGGTGGCACCATGGCAATGTGTATTTATATTAATACATTAATTTTAGTAAAACAGAACAAGGGGAGTGTGTGATTCTCAACAAAAGGCGGCTAGAGGCAGCACTCAGACAATGACACCCTGCCTTTGGTTAAATTTATATCTGCCCACTGCAGAGGCTCCACTCACCTGGAGGAGTAGCTAGTATAACTTATTACTAGTACGATATTATAACATTTTTTAAAAATCATGTTAGAATAACACATATATTTATAGGTTAGACTTTAGTTGGCTTATTTGTAACATTTCAGCAGCTTATTGAGATTCAACAATTCAACTGATTCACAAATAAAACCATTTTCTGTCTTGTTAAGTTTTGATCAGAGTTTATATTAGTGTATTAATTCTAATTTCAGATAATAGTATACTATATAGCTTACCACTAGTATAATAATAATTATAGTTACAGCAGTTTCATTATGCTATGTTGTTCTCATTCATTAAATCCACGTGAAAGAAGAATGCTCTATAGTGGGGGTTAGTCTCTAACTTGTCCATGCTAAGTGCTAACTTAATCAACAATCACAACCATGCAGAACGAGTTCAACATTTAGGAAGTTTGCTGTAGTGCGTTAACCTTTTTCCCAAACTGTTTCCCAAAACGGTCATAGCTTGTTGGTACCACCATGGTTTGAACTAACTTAGTTTGGAACCAACATAGTCCGAACATGTTTCCAGGTGTAGCCTATTTTTCACAGCACAAAACTCACAAAACATTGCATATTCTGCCTTGTTGTGACCGATATCAACTGACATTAATATGCTAATTTATTATTTATGCTTCTTCATATTATAGTCGTACCGGCAATAACAAAAAAAAAAATCAACAATAGTATTAATGAAATCAACAATATAAATAATATATAACATAATCGTTTTATTTATCCTAAATATAGGCTATAACTTTTAAGAACTATTAGCGATTACAAGACTTTCCGTAAAATAGGTATAATCTGCAAGTATCTTCGTTCCAACACTTTAACACTATCATGAATCCCTTGGCCGCAAATGATACCAAAGTCTTGAGAATAACTCAGTGTGATAAATGGCTGAGCTAGTGAATGTTCTCTATTGAGACAGACACGGGTTTGAATCCTGTGAGTTCTCTATTTACCTTTGTTATAATGGCAACGGAAGCTCTCTGGGATTTATTCATTACAGTACTTTCATGAATTTTATGCTGTCCCTTTTTATATTTATGTTTATACTGAAGACTAGTTCCTGCCATGGATTGGCGACCTGTCCAGGGTGTACCCGGCCTTTCGCCCTATGTCGGTGACGAGTTCTATTTATTCGGAGGAGTCACCGGAGTGGACATACAGGGAGAGACGGAAAGCAGCAGGGCACACCGATGTGTCTGCAGCACAGGTAGGCTACGTTAGGTCTGTGAGTGTGAAGAGAACTGAAGGAGGCAGACTCAATAAATGAGTGAAACTGAAATTAGGTGGAGAATGAAGGATAATTAAAACGGTGAAATAAGAAAAAAGCTACTCTAAACAATAAAAACATGCACGCTAAAACCGAGCCACCCCAGCAAACTTAGCAGAAAATACAGATATACATTTTATATAGTCAGCCTAACAGTACCAGGATGTGAATTTTTGGTCTATGTCGCCCAACCATAAAAAATGCCCTAACTTTTCAACAATGTCTTCACTCTACAGGTATAAAACCAAAACTGGTCCTCACAAAGATAATAGTACAAAACCAGGCACACCCACATGGTGATAATTTGCATCCCCTGTCTCACTCCATGTCAAACCAACTTCATTAATCCAGCCACCAGAGGGGGATTGACATCATAGAAACAGCAGTATCTGTCACACACACACACACACACACACACAGTTATGTACAGTGTCAGAGTCTGTGTTGTTCTCTCTCTCCCTCTCGCTCTCGCTCTCTCCATCACTCTCACAGTTTCTGCAACACTAATCTTTCAGACAGCCTCCCTCCATATTTTCTCTCTTCTTCTTCGATTTGGGTCCAATCCTCTCTCACTGGGGCGCGTTTTAAAGGATTTGAGGCAGGATAAAAAGAATTTCACAGGAGCCCTCGAATCAAACCCCCTTTTTGTAAACACAACAAAAGAGAAAAAAAAAAAAAAAACTGAATGAGAAAAACGAAGACGCTACTATACAGGAAAAGTGGAGAATTAAAAACATCGCTACAATATCTCACTGAGACACACACAAGAAAGGGTCACGGTCTGTTTGTGATATGGGCTGCTAAACTTTAGAATAAACTCCCAGAGGAAATGCAGTTTTACTAGCTGTGTCTTCTTTTAAGTCCCAACTGAACACATATTTTTATAAACTTCCATTTAATCTCTTACCCATGTTACTGTCGCTGTGATGTTTATTCGTTCGCTGCAAGTTCTGTATTGCCTATAAATGCTAATGATTGGCCATTTTTTGTACATTTAGCTTTGAGAGTTTAAATGAATAGGCTCCAGCTTCATACTTAACACACAGATTTAAGATTGATAATACAGTTTTTCTCGACTCCTTAAACACATTTCTTGACATTTATTCATTTTTGCTGATGCTTTTATCCAGAGCGACTTACAATTGTCAGAGGTCGCACGCCTCTGGAGTAAGAGTGGACCACTGGAGCAACAAGGTGTCTTGCTCAGGGACACGTTGGTGTGTCACAATGAATTCGTACCCGGGTCTCTCACACCAAAGGCATGTGTCTTATCCACTGCCCCATCACCAACCCACCACCTGACATTATGCTTCTTTGTCTCAAAACTCTAAACACAAATCCATAACTTCTCAACCAATTCCCCAAACATCCCATTTTCAGGTCAAAATAAAGCTCTCCACTCAAAACCATTCAGTCTTGCTGAAAAACCAAACTTTGGCCTCAGACATAAAACACAAGCCCTCTGGAACACACACACTACAACACAGTCTTACACACTGGTGTGATAAATTCATAACAATGCTACAAAAATTGGTTATTAGTAATATTGCTTGTGGTTCTATCTCACACAGGCTCCGCCCTCTACTGGACTCTATGGGTACTACCTCCTCCAATCACACGTACGCACTTGCCCACTGAAATTTTACCGTGCACATAGCCGACCAATAGGACGTCACTACCGATACGTGCGAGACGTATAAATAGTAGTGTCCCTACATTGTGCTTATAGAACTAGGGTTACCATATCATAACCTTCGTTATACCCCTCAAAAACCTTTTCACATGATGAACACAAAAGAAATAACAAATGTATACATTGGCAAATTTGCACATTTTTTTCATTTCATAGTGTGCTGTACAGTACAACATACCAAACAACAAATTATTCTGCCCCAGCATCCTGTCTTTGGTCTGGGACAGGCCAGAGATATTTGATCTCACCTCCTCCTCCACCTCCTCATCTTCCTCCTATCCTATCTCCTCCTCCAACTCCTACTGTTCCTCTTCTTTCTCTTCCACCTCAGATTTCTCAGGATCCATTGTTCCAAAGCTGAATGAACTGACTCTGGACCTTTTATCTATCAACTGAAGCTTCCAATTGGTGTGTTATCACTTTTGACTGTGTTTCCACCTGGGTAGTTGTGTGCTAATTGAGGTGAACCTGTGCTGATTGAGTGAACAATATCGGATGTTAGTGTTTTCTCAATGACCACATGGTGGAGGCAATGAGAAATGACTTCAATTTGTATGTAGAGTTTAGGGAAAGGGGTGTGTTTTTAAAAAAAATGGAGTTTTGGTTTTGAAATTTTATTTCAAAAGCCTGCTTATAGTGTTTAAGCAAAGGAGAAAAACTGTAAACTGCATGTAACCTAGCGACTGTACTTGCTACAGTTGTCATCTCTCACTAGTGAAATGGCCTTGACTGGGTTAAACAAACAATCTTTATACAACAGACAATGATTTGACACAGATTCTCTTTTTGTCAGTCATAAGCAGCCATGCCATAATAGCAATAAAACACTTCCAGTAACAAATGACAACATACCGTCTTACTGTTATTTTTGTATATCTGGACACCTTGTCATGTATTGTCTTGATTTTGATTACAGTTAATTATTAGCTACTGTACCTCATCAAGGTTTATAATCAATAATGGAATGCATTAGCAAAACACTACATATTTACTCAGATTATATTACATTAGACTGAGGTTACTTTTAATTTTCTTTACAATTACACCTTCAAAGGTTTGAAAAAAGGCAACTTCCAGTTTGCTTTAAGTTGCTATATTTATTTTTTACTGAGCTGGAGAGTTCACCAACAAGCCAGTTTTCCACAAATACAATGTCTGTTTAAATTAGAGGTATATACCGATTATATTTGTTCTGCAGTCAGGGCCCTGAAGCTCTAAAACAGCCTGCCCGAGGAAATCAGGGGGACTGAGTCAGTGAACTCTTTTAAATCCCTTCTTAAAAGAAACTTCAGGACAGCTTTCCTGATTCTAATAGATTTTATTTATTTATTTTCTTTTAACTGTATTTTATTTAGTTAGTTTCTTTCTGTTTTTACTGTGTATCTTGTTACTTGTTTGATGTGTTTTATTGTCTTTGCTTGACTTGGTAACATGTTTTTGAAAAGTGCTCTATAAATAAAGATTGTTGTTGTTGTTGTTGTTGTATTCAAACATTGAAATTAACATTCAGATCCTCACCTCTCCAACCATGCCGTTCCACTCCCCATCAATGTTCTTCCCATGCCTCCCATTGGTCACCAGATAAAGGTCATAGGTGAAACCCACAATCTTTGCCAGTCTCTTGAGGACATCGATGCAGAAACCTTTGCAGCAGTGTTTCATGGGCCCGGTGCCATCCACCACCAAACTAAGGAGATGATGTGAGAAAAGACAGATAGGTGAGATAGTTAACATGCTTTTTATAAGATTTCAAGATATTTTACCAAGGACACGTTGACCTTGATGGGCTGCTTAGCTGTTATAGAAATTGAAAAAGAAAGATTCTCTGCTGCTAGGGGAGTGAGAAAATGAACAGGTGAGTACCTGAGAGACACAGAGAATGTAACAGAGGAAGAACAGAAGAAGTTAAGGAGGGTATGAATTATTGGCAAGGGACTGTGAGTGGATCGATACTGACAGTTTGGGCTGTTATGTTTGGAGAGGTAATACTTGACAGGTCAGAGAGCTCAGGAGAAACAAGATGCATTTTTAAAACAGAATTAAACTCAATTGTGTGCCCTTGGATGCTCAAATCTGAAAATGTTCTGCAAGTGAAGTCAGAGTTTCTTATAATGCAATATCACCAGGCATGCCTTAAAGAGCTGTACATACAATAAACACAGCAATGAGCAACATTAGCAGAACACACAAAAACATATAGAAGTGAGAATAACTACATACAAAGCTTTACAAACATACAATTGAAACAGTCAATGAGTAGTTTAGCAAAATATACAAAAACATAAAGGAAAACACATATATACATACATATGCGTAATCATGTGCACATTAAATGAGTATTGTTGGATTAGTAAGTAAGTAAGTTGGATGACTATAGTTTAGTATTTATGGCTGACTAAGTGAGGTTGAATGATGATGCGAAAAGATTAGTTTACTTTTGAATGAGTTGGCAAAGGCCTCTGAATGCCTCTTTTTTCTGAGGCTTCCTCTAGTGAACACTTCACCCTGACAGCCCCATGAGCGGGTTACACATACGGAAATCCAAGTGCATTTAGATCAGTCAAGTGGCTCCGGCAGCTGTCCATACAAAGTGCCCATTCAAGTCCCTGATACAGTAAGCTATGGTAACCCCTTGCTGAGAGTTACCCTTACCTAGCAACACAAATAGTTTTTTACTAAATCAAAGTCACATCAAACTTCTGAGGTTAGGACGCTTAATCCCTGTGTACTAATTAAACATTTTCACATAGTTGTAAAAATATTTTTCTAAAACTATTGTGTTACTGTGATATTTTGACTAACAAGGAGTTTTCATGTTGACATTTTTTATGCCACAGCCATGATTCTCCTCATGTAAATAATGTCACATTGACATAATGTCATTTTATTTATTTAAACATTTACTTACATAGCATGATCCTGCATGAGCAATATGTAGTTTTTTTCGCCACTAAATGCTCCACCAGCTAGCTGCCAACTGCCTGTCTACTGTTTGGTGCTGAGCAGGTAGCATTCAATAGGTTTATCAGAGCTTTTTTAATGGAAACAATGTGCTGAATGATTGTTGTTAATATTGAGAGTAAAAGGCAGTTGAGTTTAAATGCTTGGTTGTGCCCCAGTAATTTATCCATCCATCCATCCATTTTTTTTTCTGCTGTGTAAAAAAAAGATAACGAATCAATTAAACATGAAGTACATAAAATATAAATAATATATAGAAATACGATAAGGAGAAAGACAAGCAAGTTAGCAAAAAAATCACTTAAGGAAAAAAAAACCTGGGTCAAAGTAGGTTGATTAACAAGAGAGAAAACTTCCTCTCAGCCTATAAAATTGATGGAGGATGAACTCGTTATCATCCCATTGGCCAGGTCATGTGCTGGCAGGAAGGAAGCTTATCTGGAATAGGCCAGGAGCCCATAGCACACTCACACACTCGCTCTCTGTCTTTCTATCTCTCCCTGACTTACTTTGTCTCAAATAAACCTAATTCATAAATGAAACCGGAGAAAAACTAATTACAAAGGACACAAGTTATCCTCAGTTATCAATTGTATCATGTTGTTGCTATCTATTAGGACATATGTGGTTCCCAATATTTTTTCAAGTGTTGGTAGGAATGCAGCAGAGATCTCTTGCTTCCTGATTAAAAATCGATTGTTTTTTTGTTTTTTTATCAGGATCAAGTCATGATCATCTGGAATGATTGAATGACAATTAACCTTACTTTGCCGTGTGGTATCAAGTATATATTATAGTTTTAAATAACAGCTGTAACAAAATCATTCCTTTCTCTTAATTACATGCTTTAAGTGATACTACATGACTTTTAAAGTGTCTATAACTCCTGTAAGAAAACTTAATTTCCTCCCTGGGATATTTGTAATGTTTTAACGATTTCACAATGAATCAGAGCCTGGACCCTTCTGGTTTCATGATGGTCTCTATCTAACCACTTTTTGAAACTTCTTTTCTACTTCCCACTAAAGGCTGATAAGGATTTAGAGGACAAAGTACTAGGAGATATCACGGTTAGAAATCAGTTGTTATATACTAAAACACCTCCTGTTCAGTATAAAACTATTTCAGTCCATTCTTGGATAGAACATTTGAAATATATATTATTCTGTTTCTCTCCGCTTAATGGCCATAATATATTGCAGGTCATCTTGCCCTGCTACTCTCTTTGGTGAGTTACAAAAGTATATTTCAACTCCATTCACACTTATTGAAATTGCACTGCTGCTTTAGCATTTATAATGCAAAATCATTTCACAGCCTCTCACCATCCTCTCTGTATCAGTTAAATCAAACAACCACTGTGGTGATGAAAGAAGTGTGAATGTGACATTTTGCTTCATAATGGGCAAATATTGTTGAAAAACCACTGATTTATACCACCAAGTGAGGTATGCTAATGTAGAGGAAGGACCTTTCTCTTTGTCTATGTATATTTGAGGGCATGTAAGTGTAATTTTGGTGCAAATTTTTTTATATGCACAATCATAGAAAAAATCTGAACTAAAGTAAAACCTTAAAAATACTTGCATAATTTTGAATTGTTTTGGGTGTAAGTATATAAACAATTATATTCATAATTAACTACACCGTTCATTTTAATATGAAAAATAAAAATGCACAGACCAACCATTGAGAAAGGAACCTTACAGCAGTTTGTTTATAGCTATGTTTCCTATCTAAGGGCTGTGGTGTGTTACCTGGTGTTGACAGGCATTCGACAGGGTACAGAGTCTCGGATGCAGGAGCTAGTGCCCGGGTCAGCCGGTTCCACGATGACAAAGGGCCTCTCCTCCAAAGTTACCACCCGGAGGTGTTGGGAGTCATCCAGAGGTTTCAGGAAGGAGCCATAACGAGACCAGGGATGGTAACGCAGACGCAAGTGGCCGTTCTCCCACCAGCCAACCTGGATGGGCATAAACACACAATCACATATGCTCAGGGCTTCAGGTCTTGGGCAACAGTGGCTCAAGGTCTGCTTATCACATTTCTAAAAGTAAAATGTCTCCATACACGAGTATTTAAGTAATTTCATCAATGAAACATGATCAGTTTTGTGTTTTAGCGTGGACAATGTAATCTACTTTGGAAGCTAACCATATTACCTAATCTGAGAGCTAAGTATTTTACTCTTGCTGTTAACATATCTGATTTGCACACAACCCCATAAGCACTATTTGGTGAATTGTGGGCGAAAAGATGTTACAGCTAGATGTTAAATCTAGGTTAAAACTGGGCTAATTTGGTAGAATTTAAGCTTTTTAGATGGATATGTTACATATAACTTGTTCTAAAAAAATCCAGGACTACATTTCAATGTTTACTTATGACCTAGAACATATTGAATAACTGTCACTGAAATGCTGTAAAAACAATCGTCACGACTTCAGACTAGCTGTGAGTTTTAGAATTGATTTTAATATTTTACTACTTGTTTTTAAAGTCCTGAACGGTCAGGCTCCTGCATGTATCTGTGATTTTTTAACTCCCTACAAGTCAGATCGATGCCTAAGATCCTCCGGCAGGGCTTTACTAATGGTTCCAAAGTCTCATCTGGTCACTAAAGGTGACCAGGCCTGGAGATCTCAAGCAGGCAAAATCTCTTAATAAGTTTCACTTTAACAACTGTTGTATGAATTGCTGTTATCGTTGTATCATTCATTTCATTCATATTTTTTAAGTTTGGATCTTGTTTGTTTCTAACAAACAAGTAACTAGGTTTTGTGTAGGTTTAAGTGTAACTTTCTGTCTATTAACTTTATTGTTGATTATCACTGAGGAGTCTTAGGTCAAGCCTGTGCTTCTTTTCCCTTCCCTCTACACCTGCAGGCTTTTCCAGCACAGTTATGTTTCAAAACATAAACAGTGATCTGTGGAGGAAGATGTAGCCAGGGGCGGATTGGCCATCGGGAATTTTGGAAACATTCCCGAACGGCTGGCCCATTTCAGACCGAACCGGCCGGTGTTCAAGAGCCGGTGTTTTCTTATCTTCAACTTGAAATGATCCGCGGCCGCGATGGCTGGCTGGTCAGCTGCAGCGAACGCTGTCTATGTCTATCAGATTGGGCCAAACCAATACTTTCAATATTGAGGGGATATACGAGCAGCCCCTCCCAACATGGAGGACTGATTCTCATTTTTGCTGAAATCTAATTGGCTCAAAGGCGCCGATCAAAGGAGTTTAGTTCCCAGCTGGGAGTTCAATCTCAATACGTTTTGTGAGGGCTAAACTCAGCACGGGGTTGTGTGACAAGCACAAGAGAGCAGGTAAATATGTCAAAAAAAAAGAGAGGAAAAAGAAATGTGTGGTGCGGAAAAAATAAGAATTTAGAAGAAAAAAATGTGCCTAATTAACCAACCTCTTCCGTGGTGGAAAGGTGCTGTGACAGACCCAGCACAGGCACTGATAAGTAATGCATTTATTACAACCTGAGATTATTTATATGTGCATTTATGTATAGGCATATAGGCTATATTATAAGCAACAGTTGAGGAAAGAAGGAAGAGGTGGAGGAACAGGAGGAGCTGTAGGAGAAGGACGAGGAAGAGAAGCAGCAGGGGGAGAAGGACAGTGGAACCAGAAACAGTGATAGGTACAGGGGCAGCTTGCAGGTGTAGCTAGGCAATCATCCATATATAGAAAAAGAAAATGTATTATTGTTAGTTATATTTATTACAAATGTTCTTGACATTCATATGTAGCGGTACAATCATTACAAGCCTACAGGCCTACTCAGAGCTGAAGATGAGGGATTTGATTTTTATGCACACACATACACACTGTTCTATTTAATGAGACTACATTGTAGTTTTTGATTATATTTAAATATTTTAGCATTCTGACTGATCCTGGCTTGCCTTACGTGGTCTTGTTCAGTGCAGTGGTGCCTTGCTTAGACAAACTTAAGAAACAGGTGTCATAAAAAGTTTCTTGAAGGTCTTCATCATAATGAAATTTACTGCATACAAGTACAACACTATATATTAAAATAACTGCAAAAAATCCTTCCCCCTGCCCCCACATGGCGCTCGCATCAAAGGCCTCTCGGTCTCAAAGTCCCGGGCTGAATTTCAGTCCCAGTACACCCCTGGATGTAGGGCAGCTGCACAGTATGTCTTTGTATTGGTTGTGTTGTATTATGAGCAGCTTGTTCATGTTAACCAAGCTGAGTGTTTTCATGCTAAAATATGGAGTTTTGGAGGAGAGACTGACACTAAAGACGAGACAGTTTACTGTGTCACAGTGACACATACATGTGTAAACAAATCTGTTCACATTGACAACACAACATCGAGGATGTTACTGGATGGATGTGCAAATACAACAGAGCAATTCTGTCAGGTATTTTGTCATCTTGTAGCTGTCGTGTCATATATTTAGATGTCGTTTGCATACAACCAATTCTCCTGTGGATCTCCCTGATGGTGCCAGACTTGGCTGGTGGAATTTATGAGAAAAAAAACAACAACAAAAAGCACGCAAAGCCTCTTTATGTACACACAAAACACAAGTTTTGTTTCTTGTGAGGACAATGTTTATAGACTTCTGGCCAACCCATACCTCAGTTTTGACATAATTCCTCTCTCTAAGACAAATTCTTAAACTTAAAGAAATTGGTTAACCTTTTTCATAAGAAATGAGACACATTCATTTCTACTTATACACTTGTAAGGAATCTGATTGACATAATATCTTCCCTAGAACTTAACCCATACCCTGAATTTAAATTGATCCTTAGTTAACATTGTGGGGACTAGGACTCTGTTGCACCAACATAATGATTTACTATGTTTGTGTATCATTAAAACTTCAGCAATGTATAAACTAGAAAAGAGAGTAACACTTTCTATGAAGGTCATCGCTATAATGACTTATGCATACATTTATTACACGATGTAATGCATCCATAAGACATTATAACAATTGCTATAATCACTTACAAACATGCATTAGGCGCTCCCGTTGTCCTTAATTAATGTCCTTTAATACATTTTGTGAAACAGTTGTCTCCAATTGTCCACTGCATCTGTTAGGGCCTGTCCGTAGGCTCGCCTTTCATCTGTGACAACATCTGAGCCTCTTCTTACATGATGTTATATGGTTGGCAACAGGTCTTTTCTTGAGCGATCTCTCGCCACCCTGAGAAGGAGTTTCCTTGATTTAATTATGTTGTGTTTTTGTGTTAAACTGCAAAATGTTCAAAATTCATTCAGATTATTCATCAAGTGAAGAAACAATAAATAAAAGTTGTTTTCCTGCGCAAAATGTGTGTCACTTTACTTAAAGCAAACAATTACGTGTTATATGTTCTTATAATTTGTTCATATGGTATTCTGTCCACTTGTAATATGTTGTAATATGGACATTTTAACACTTTACTTAAAGCAAACAAAGACATGCTATATAACATTAAACCTTACTATAAGTTATTATTCCATTTTATTATAGTCATTATAGTGATGACCTTCATAGAAAGTGTTACGTAAAGACCTTAAAAGGCCTGTAAATTGGTTGCTAGAAAACATGTACTGCCGTCCAGTCAAAAGAAATCAACTAAACAGAAAGTCACTGTAGCATCAATAGGTGTATCATACAAATGTAGCAGTGCCAAAAGCTAAATTAAATTTACCAGAAAATATTTTGTAAATGAAATTATGAATTAATTATGAAATTATGGAGAAATACATAATTTTGAGAATAAATGCAGTTCACTTGGAGGGAAATATTATCGACCTTAACTGGTCGACTGAAATTTTTGGCATTAAATTTCGCAATTTATGGTAGCACTGTCTTATTTTGGTCAGAAATCTCCATGTACATCAGCATTAATCAGTATTTGATTCGATGGAGATGAACTTACTTTAATTTAAAAAGGCATTAGTCTCTACTTAGTTCATATTTGTGTTAACACATTATTACAGCTGAACTTACAAACAGCTGGTGCAACCTCTCCCTAGATGAGAGGTCAGTCCTCATAATATATCATGGAAAGAGATGTCCCTACAACGTTATGAATACACATACTCACACAAAAGAACAGGTGCAAGAATAATACTCTACCCATATAGGTATATACCTAATACTGTATATACTTTACCAGCAGAAATGCATGCACACAGACACACATACAAATAAGCCACAAGAACACAAAATCCCACTCAAAACTAAATAACACAACTGGAATAGAAATACAATTCGGTACACTGACACACCTCCGCATTATTATTCATTATTATTAATTTTGGCCACTTCAACACATTAACACAAGGACAAGAGATACAAACAAAAGAGCAATGTTAATATCGAATTTGCAGCACCTGGCACTTTGGACCCACTCACACTTTTATGCGCTTTCCATCTTTTTAGTGTTTCTGCTCTAGTCTTTCACTCTCTCTTATGCATTAATAATAATAGCTAGAACCAACAGTTCATTATGGACCAACATGATAATTAGCTCTTCTATGCTCATTTGTCCTCCAGTTCATCCTTCTAACATGTTTTGCATTAACCGATGTAAACGCTTTCTGTGTCTTGACAGAAAAAAAATTTATATGCACACACACACAGACAAACACACTGCCCAGACAGGGGCTGAATCCCTGGATTGCCAGGCCAGCAGAAGGCAGGGATAGAGAATGATATTTTGGCATTTTGGCATTGGTTCTTGGTTACCATGGAGCTCAGACAGATTTTTTATCTCCAAATGTTATGGCACTCACATTAAATCCAACTTAAAATTTATGAGAAAAAGAGCTGAGTCAGTTTAAGTCTCTTCCATTACAATCAATGATCTGTGATGCACTGTTCAGAGGACTCGATAGTTTGGGATGCACAACTTGGAGGAATCAATAATTCAATGAATGAAGTGTTTGAATTACTTCCAAAATCAACACAGCTTCCAAAAT